TAGCCAGGATAATATAAGACAAGCTGGTGTTGAGTTTTTCACATCTAGTGTTGTTTGCCGTTTGGAGTGGTGGCAGTCTCAGAAGCAATACCTCAAACATCACCATTTTGTGTTATTTGAGGGACCTGACCCTTTGAATTAGCCTTTCAAGCTAATACAGAATTTAAAGTATTGGATTTATTGTGCTTCTCACACTCCAAGACATTTTGTTTCCGTGTGAATCCCAATTCTTTTATTATATCAATCCTCGCTCGGTCGTTCTGGTCCGCCATGATGAAGGACAATCTAAATCTCTTATTTCTGCTCTGAGGAGGCTGCTGAAGGAGCCTTAATCTAGGATCCATGAGTGCATCCTTCATAGAAGTCTGTTACGGATTGATGGGCCCCTTTATTAGAAATTAGTTAGTGACTGGATGATTCACATGAAGGATCGGAGGAAAGGACGTCTCATGTCAGTTAAAACGTGTTTCTTTGATTCCTCTCTCCTAGCATTTTGTCCTGCATCTTTTCCTTGCATCTTACATGGGCGGGACTAAGACACGAATGAGGGAAATGTGGATGCAGTTAGTGGAGTTTGGACTCGACTCCAGACTCGTGTATCTCAGCAAGTCACTGTGTGTGTGTTTCCTGTTGCTCTCTTGTTGCCAGCTGTTCATCTGACAACTCAGCATGCTCTAACTACAAGTGAATCTTGTTTTTGGCCATGATAAAACCAACCATGTTGGAAAGACATAACTCAAAATCATTCAAATGAGACAGCCTGTCATGACGGGTGCCAATTCAAAAGAGTTTTTGTCTCAGATGTGATAAAGAGCAAATCATGGTAAACTGTAGTCGTGTAGTCTGCACAGGACTTTAACTCTAATGACTGGTGCAGGGTTTAATGTCTACTCACCTTCTGGATGGAGTAGCCCTCGTACAGGTGGAACCGGCCCTGCATGCAAACACATGGCTTCCCTTTTAGTGTCCCAAACACCAGCTGGCCGGCATGTCCATGCACTGCAACACACACGCACACTGTTAGACACCCAGTTAAAATACTCAGAGCTCAAAAACACACATTAACATCCGTGTTTTCCCAGACAGCTGCAGGCTGTGTGTACCTGTGCTCTGGGGGAAGTTGGGGATATCACTGTATTTGATGACCTGTCGGTCCTTGAGCATCTCAGCCAGGCCCCCCAGACCTGAACCGCAAACGATTCCCACGGTCGGCTGCACTTGTGTGTTGGACAGCAGCCAATCAGCTGTGGCCTGGCACTGGTCATGGATGTCGCTGATGGAGTAAGAAGGACAAACATAGGTCACGTGTGTGCTCAACTCTTGTTATGTTTGAATACAGAATATGGCCAGAAGTATGCGGATGTCTGAACATTACACCCCTGTGAGTGTTGAACATCTCCACAGGCGGGCGTTTCAGTTAATCTCAAAGATGTGGGGGTGGAGGTATTGTTTTATTTTTTAACTTTTTAAAACCAATTAATCACAGAACAGTTTCCTATAACGAACTCTAACATCTGACAAGTCATAGCAATATAAAGAGACATAAAGGTCTTATTAAGATGGCACGACTCATTTCCCCTCTGCACGCAGTCATGTCACATCACAACCAGGAATATCTTGAGTTAACAGAAGGAATTTAAGAGGCACGGACATCCTGTGCAGTCACTGAACTGGAATGAATATCTCACACAAACACATCCCGTTGTGTGTGTGTGTGTGTGTGGAGTTAAAGTACTGCCAGGATTTTGTTTGGCAAACAATGCGTCATGTTCAGGTGACACGCGACCTTAACACACCTTAACCACACACTCTAGACTATTCCTCATACACACACAGACATTACTGTATTTGTGAGGACTCTCCAGTGTGATTCCTTTATTGACACCCACTATCCCTTTGTTTCTGGCACTCCAACGTTGACCATTTGACTATTAGTAACCGGCGTGTTTGCTAATAAACAGTAAATAAAAACAAGACAAGCTAGGTTAGGTTACTAAAGTTGTTATTATTATTGTTATTATTACAAGCTGAAAAACATACTGTGGAACGTTGCGTTTTGCTTCACTGGGCTTAAGATAAAACCTTAAGAAGAAACTATTTAAAACGAGCATCCGATCTGGAGTTGAAAGTTTTTTTGTCCTTGCTGTCCTTCCTTGTAGTCCTTTACTGAGGTTCTACGTGCGCTACGTGCCCTCTCTCGCTAACCAACCCCGGATGTAGACGCGGTGATGGAGCCGCACAGCAGCTTCCACTGTTTTACATTCACGCGCCATTTCGTCTGACCAAACGAAACCTCGAAATCAGTCAGTCTGTGCTCACACAAATCGAAATTCCGTGGATTTGCTGATTACGTCACGACTGAGCGCGCGTTTGCCAAATGGGGGTTTTCCGTTTCCGCTCATTGCAGTGCGCAAACAGAAGCTGTCCCGGCCTTTATTGCGTTTTTTTTCCCCAAACCTTTATTAGAACCACAGTATCACCATAACAAAGAAAAGAAAAAAAGTACAGGGAGCGTTGGAAATTACAAATGTAAATAACACGCTTCCAGAGGTTCACTGCTAATATTTCATTTAACAATACTTTTAATATCCGTGCAGTCATCCAGGTCATAGTAAGCTGAAAAAACTTCAACTGGACTAGGTTTTTAGGTCGAAGACAAAGACAACTCATCTCTTGGATGAGAGGTGAAACGTCTTCGACCTAAAGACCTAGTCCAGTTGATTTTTCTGTTTTTTCAGCACCTTTAATAATGCTTCTCCAAATATGAGCTGTCCATTAAGCTTTCTTTTTTTATATAAATGTTCAGAAAAATCATAAAAAGGCTGAAGTTCTATAGAAAACAGGGATTGTTTTGGACGAAGCTGAAGAAATCTGGCTTTGTGGACACGATGTTTGCCCAAGAGACACAGCAATTTTACCGATTCTGAATTTCCCTTTATTTACCTGTAGATGATGTGCGTCACGCGCGCAACATCTTGACAGTCACTCGCGCTTCTGGAACAAAACGACATCGACATCAGCAGCAGCACCAGGAGCATGCCATCACGAGTCGCGCGCGCGTTTTTAATTATGAATTAAATTATGTAGCCTAAGTGTTTCGGTCTCTCTGGGGATTTGGGAAAAACTGTATCTACATTACAGTGTGATAATTCTCCTGGAAGACGAGCGATGGAAACCCGGTGATGAGCTTTACAGCTATAGGCTGTCAGGTTACCAGACATCCCGGCAAAACGTTCATAGAAATATGATCGGTTAGAGCTCGGTAATGTTTGTAATAAGAACATTATAATGAATATTTGCTAACTCACCCAGACACGAACTCAGACATAGAGAGCATGATGAAGCGAGAGTCAGATGGTTCTGCAGGTTGTTCTTGAGTCGTAACACTGGTTTCAGACCGGTATTACATGTACACCACCTCAATGCCACACCATGCAGACGTCACAGCCGAGCTGAGGCTGTGATTGGCGTTCATAGAAGGCGTTGTAGGCGTTGTTCTGGTGCCCTCGCGCACATCCTGGCCACAAGGATACTTCCCAAAACAAGTTGAGTCAAGCGTGTGTCTAGACGAAAATTATGACGAAATAAACACGAAGCAGGATGTATAACTGAAATTTAAATACATTATGGTGGAATAAATAGGATGCTCAGATTGGAGTAATAAAGCAAAGTTGCAATTCCACCGTGTTAAAATACTCAGTTACTAGTCCTTAAGTAAAAATGTAAAAGTATTTGCATCAAAATAAACTTTATTTATGAGTATTGATGCATTATTGTACACATCCCATTTAATGATGCATCTGGTTAAGGTGGAACTAATTTTAACCACCTTATATAGCCTACTTATAATTTGAAATAAATCGACTGCTGGGTAACTTGTCAAATTCCAATTGAAGATCAATAAAGTTTTATTATACTGTATTTTGTTATCAAATGTAGTGGAGTAAAAAGTACAATATTTGCCTCTAAATGAAGGTTAAATATGAAGTACAGTAGAAATCAAGAATACTTGAGTAAATGTACTTAGTTATTTTTCTACCTCTGTGACCAGACCCAGTGGAACCACTATCACCCTGAAGCAGACTGACAGGACTTTATAGATACAAGAAAAACCCAAGAAGTCAGTTTAGTCTAGTTCATTACTGCAGTGATTCCCAACGTGCAGACACATTTTAAGCACTTTAAATGTTTAGATTATTATCCATCACACAGTATCCTGAGGGATGTGTCTGATCAGTCTTACATTTTGAAGATATTATGTGAAGTTATTGTTTAGAACGTGTTTAATGTTTTAAGTCCTTAGTATTACCTTTTTAAAAAAAAATAAAATCCTGATTGTACGCGTAGTGTTTTCATCTCGTCTTTGTTAAGAAGAAATTAGCTTGAATGCACAACAGGACTGTTAACACAAGCTTTATTTAAAGAGGTATTTCTAACTTCTCTGTTGGGCCCCCATTCTGTTCTTTCCAGTTGTGATTGTTTTGTAGCCATTGTTTCATTATGCAACCTACGCGAACACTGAATGTTTTAAGAATAAAATTTCCGAGAGGCCCTGAAGGCAGCAACTGAGTCCACTATGCTCACAACGTGGCTGTGTTGTGTTTGGTGCTGATGCAATCTTCCTGAACCACACTCACAGACACACACTATGCATATCTCGTGTTTAATGGCTCACTTAGGTTTATTTATTCATTTTTTAAACAATTCAGTCAAAAATAACTGAATTCCTTTAAAGTTTCCCAGATCATATGGCTTGCGGTATAGAAAAAGGAAGTGTGTTGTGGCGCATTTATAATAAAGTGCAGTTGGTTGGAGTTAAACCTGCTTACAGCTGTCAGTTTGTGTAGTGGTAGATTACACTAATGCCTACAGAAAGTATCCTTTCTCCCAGGGGGAGACCCAGACCTGGGTGAGGTGTCGGATAAAAACAGCAAGAGAATCGATCAAAGTTTTAAAAGTATGATAAAGAATCTTAAAAAGTTCCAACGGTGATTTTCTGGGATAGAGGATTACAATCAAAACCGAACTAATACAGTCAAACTACTTCAAAGCCTGAAACGCTTCGGCCTTCTGGACACAGCCTCGCCACGGACTCGCCAAAGAGTCCTCTCGTCTCTCCTCCTTTTCTATCCTCCATTTCCGTGCACCTGTGATGATGATGGACCCACGCATAAGCTTTCTTCTTCCTCAGTGATTAATAATTGATCAGCTTTTTATGAACCCTGTGTTCCAGGAAGACACAGGGCAGGAAAATGATGTTGCAGTGCGAGAAATGAGTGTCAGCAACACAGCATTACACAAGAGATTATCACTTGTCATCATCTGATAATAGTTTTTCTCTGCCTGCTCTATTCACAACAGATAAAAAAACAAAGCAACAAGATTTCAGTTTGTCCATAGATTAGGAGAGAGTCTTGGAGCCAGTAGTATGCAGACCAAAATAATCCAGCAGTCTTTGGTATGGAGATGGTTTTGGAGCTTTAAACTAGTCCCATCTATTAAGAAAATGTAAGTTTGTATTGTAAGTAACAAGGCAAAGCATGGGTTTGAACATCTGGAGTGTTCCTGTGTGTGTGTGATCCCACAGTTATTACACTCCACAGTACCAAGGGGCTGAATGGAAACAATATTATATTGCAATGAGCTTTCTGTTTAAAGCTTTTATTTTGAGTTTCAGCTTCGCTCCTTGTCTGTGCTGATCACTCTGACCTGTTTGTAATCAGTAATCAAAGGACTGTGTATCTAAGCCAGCGGTTCATGCTCTTCCTTTTTCTGGTTGCTCTTTCCCGCCTGTGCCCAGGTTTTTGCTGGACTGACAGTTTATTGGAGCTCACCTGTGTATTTTTGTTTCCTGCTCTTGCTTCACTGGTCAGTAGCTTCATGCTTAGTTTATTGTGTTCATGAATACTTAAGTACAAATTTGCGGTATCTGTACTTGAGTGTTTTCATTTTCTGCTACATCACTACATCTTAAAAGCAAATATTGTACTTTTACTGCCCTGCATTAACTTTAGTTACTTTTCAGTATCGGATTACCCATTTAAAATACAGTATAATCATAAGACTGCATTGATCTGAGACCTACCCAACAGTTTGAGCAGGTTTTGTTGTGATGAAATCGAAATGTGGATGTTAAGTCAGACTAATGGACAGACTGACATACTAGAGGAGTGAAGCGAAGCAGTCCAGCTGACTTTATTGTGCACAGCTGTGAGCTGTTACTGACTCTATATGCGCTGACTTGTCTGCATACTTCAGTTTGGTTTTGTCATGCGTATCAAGACAGATTATAGCTCAGTATCACTAATTTGCCTCAAGGGGTTTTACAGTCAGTACATAGACATTCAGTTTAAGTATATGTGTGCATTTATGTTTCTTAGTGGGTGTGTACAGTATGAATCAGTGGTGAAAGAAGTACAGTATTCAGTTTACTGTAGCAATGGCACAATGTATTAAAAATTTTGCTTAAGCAATTTACAAATGAATTGGCAAATAAAAGTATTCATGCAGAATTATCTCTTTCTGACATGTAGTAGCACTTTGGTGTTGCATTTGGTTGAGATGGGACTAATTTTAACTCCTCATGCTGCAGTGAGGCCTAATCTATCTATAAGCACAGTTTTTCTCACATGTACTAGAACAAAAATATAAAGTGGCATTAGATGAAAATACTTCTGATCTTTTTTTCAGGTCAGCAGACTAAGGTTTTTCCCATGATAAAGAAGAACACATATCAAACATGAGAATTATTGGGACATTTCGATAACTCACACTAACCTTAGCCGAAGACGACCCTTGCTCTAACTTTACACCCTGTCAGTTTCATAAAATTCCATGAACTATGTCATGTGGACCAGCCTCTGGTCCCCGCAAAGATGGATGGTAACTCTCAGATGTCAGGCCATGCAAGTACTGTATGGAAAAACATGGTCACACACGCAGAGGACTTCCTTCTGCAAATAAAAATGAAAATTTGTTACCTGCTTCCACCTGCTGGTTCAACCATGAACTTGCAAGTCACTGAGTCAGTCAAACCACAGAGCAGAGAGTGAGCTTCACCTGAAAGTAGAAATGCAGCTTGCATGTTGGGCTAGATTTATATTTAAAATCAGTATAGTAATGTTAAATTTTTTTCAATTACATTTCCATTATATACAATATATACAGTATGTCAATATATAACAAATGTATACAAAATGATTGTACATCACACATAATCAAATTAGTTTTTATGCAATGCTCTGTGTTTATTACATCAGACCTGAGTCTCCACATGTGAAATGAATCTAAAGCAACCACCTTTGGTAGTTTACAGGTAGAATTTCCTCAGAATCTTACATGGAAACGATATTATTGTATTCTCATAGTATGATTTATTGGCAAACCACCAATATCACAGCACGTCTCCAAACTCTCTGTGACCCTCATCCAGTGTTTTCTCGTCAACCAGGTCACCAAGATCAGCACAGGAAGGAAGTGCAACAGCGGATAAACCAGCACATAAATATGCAAGAGAACGAGGACAAGAGCTGGATAAAAGGCTGGCGACGGACAGAAAGAACGAATGTTTCTAAGGGTGAATAAAATGGAGGCAAGTCCACCAACACAAACCATGAGCCAAAAGCACTTGCTGACCCTGACACACACACACACATGCGCACGCATGCACGCATGCACGCATCTTGCTGACCCTGACACACACACACACACATGCGCACGCAAGCATGCATGCACGCACTCAGTCCCCATTTTGACCAACATCTTGTTCAGCAGAACAAGAAGAAAACCAGCTGATTCTTTCTCAAACCTCCAACATGTTACCGCACAGGTCACATGTCCATGTTAAGACGTGATGTATCTGATAACTCACAGACAAACTTGAACACAGTGGAACATACTTGTGGTTTTGAGAGTGTGTGTAACACAGCACCAAAGTCACGCAAAGATCAAGAAAACAAATCATGTGTGTTTCATGTCAGTCTCTCAAAAGTAAGAAACCAATCATATGACTGCTGTAAAGATAGAGTATGTTAATGCGGTGAAAATTCTTAATAATATGACCTAAATCTACTTTTTTTTGGTGGAAATTTGTGAATGTAATTAAAAGTATGAAATTAAAATGCACTACTAGTCTGTCAAACCTGTGTATTTCAACTAGAATCTAAAATCTTTCACTTATTGTAAGTAAAAGTACAATAATACTGTTACAAGTAAAAGTCATGCATTTAACTTGGGTACAAAAGTATGATCAAAATGCTTTTACCAAAAGTTAAAGTACTTGTTTTGCAGAGTGCCTCATTTCAGAATGATGTGCATTATATTATGATGTGTATTTTGCTTTGTTGCAGGTAGGGGGCTAAAGGAGGGGCTAATTTCAAATTGCTTTATATACTGCTGCACTTTGTGCATGGATCACTTAATTTAACCTGTAATACAACATCATTTATATCATCTTTAATCTGAAGAAGTTCAATAACCAGTAAATAAAAAGACAATGTTAAAAAGTATATTTGCCCCTGAACTGTACTGAGGTGGAATTTTAAAGCGGAACTGCTGAAGTAACATTATTAACTACAACACAATATAGTTAATGCTTACAGGAACTGCTGTCACAGGGAAATATGATAAGGGGAAAAGTTGTGGCTGTCTGGTTTCACGAGGAAGCGACATCAGTGGCTAATGAGAAATAAAATGATAATTTACTAGAAGTGTACAGGAATTTTTCTAACTGACTGGCACTGGTGCCCAGATGCAGCAACAGCAGTTGTAGTCTAGTCCACCACAGGCACAAACGGTGCTGGGGTCAACTTCATATACAGTGCAAGAAGACACATAGTGTCACTGTTAATATATAATAACTTATGTAGCAGTATTCTTTATGTAATTACAAAATGGTTTAACAAAGAACATGGCTGTAGAAGATCCTAGATGGACTATTAGACAAAAGGCCCCTGGCAGACACATGTGTAAGGCCCCTACCTCTCCAAAACTTGTACTGTAGGTACAAGAGCAGTCATGTGGTTTGTAGTCAGTTCGTCTTCTTGTGGTTGTTTTGTAGCTTTGCATTTCTTTTTTTTAGCTAACTGGTATTGGTTTTTATGCCCTGTTGCACCTGTGTTTACTTGTGCGTATTAGTAGTTTTGCTTTCTCTTTATAGTCTTTTTTTTCTGTATTTTTAGTGGTATCTTATCCCTTTAGTTGTTTTGCATATATTTTCTTATTTTGTCAATTTTTATTGTCATTTAAGTTTGCAATTGCAATGTTAAAAATACCTTTATGGTTCTCTGGTCTACGGGCTCCCTAACCCCTCGGCCCCATGTGCCTGGTAGGCCCCGTTCAATTGTTCATTCTTGTAGAAGATTATACAGCAAAAGTGAAACCAGATAAATGATATACAGTAAAGCAACGCTACATTCAATCATAAAATGGTGTATTTTTAGAAAATGCACAAGTAGTAGAATGGGCTCTGAATAGTAATGTGTTCACAGTTCACATGCCACAACAGCTGATCTACATGTGCCCTTGTACATATTATCTAACATGTCAGACTTGTGGTGTGACTGGATACTTTAAAGGTGCACTCTTGCGGCTGTACATTTTGTATGTGCAAAAGAGGAAATATCGTGCTGTGCCGAGAAGCTGAGGTTTCTATTTATTGTCCAAAAAAGGCCACAGAAGCATCACGGAAAGACAACACAAAGTACCCTTCCATTTTTATACCACTGTGAGTTTGTTGAAATGGCCTGTATACTTTCATTATTCTCTAATACTAATGGAAAATAAGTGTGATGAAAAGTTTCTGCCTCATGCTGGTCTGTGGTGTTCTGGTGAGGAAAAGACTGAGGCATAAAAACTGAGGAGAAACGACACCTGTGCCAAAACAACTGATGCGCTGGGTTAATGACTCATGTGTAAAAATGGTGGAGTTTCCCTATTAAGAGAGCGGTGGAGACGGTGCCATTTAATAGAGGAAGTGGGCTTGATGTTGAGTGTGTGTTTTCACAAGTTTCCGATCTGTGCAAACACACAAGTGCTGTTAAACAATAATTCAGATCCCTTCCAGGTCAAAAGATTCTGCTCTCTAATTGATCTTGACCTCAAGCAAGAAACAGATGTTTGATTCGCTAAAATATCACATATGTTAAATAGCAAGAAAACTGAAAAAGATGCACCCTCCATTTTCCCTAACATCCATCATGGTGTGCTGTAGATACATGACTATTTACCAACACAAGAATACCCAGAACCTGGACTTTGCACCAGGCGGACTCAGGGCGACTCTCCAGCATATTTGACCAATGGCTCTCTTTGACTCAATTCACCAGTTAAATAATGCTTTGTCACCCTCTCCTGAGGCGGAATAAGGGGCTGTATTCACCTCACGAATGTCCCTCTTTGTGTGTTTCAGCTTAACAGGATGCTCCGTACAGACGCTCTTGGACGGAGCAATCGCCGAGCACAGAAGTCATGAATAGGGGGCTCTGTGGTCCCCTTAAAAGAGTGGTTTTGTGTGTGCGCGCACTGCAGGGAGACAGTTTGTTAGGTGGGTTTCTTGGTGTGTGCATTTATGAAAAACATGTATGTGAGGCCCCAGGCGTGTGCCTATCCATGTGTATAGGTTGATGTGCATTAGTTGTGAGGGGAGGGAGTGGTGCAGCAACAAATGTGACAAAACATGAATAAAGAAAAATCTAATATTTGGAACCTCATGGTTTCAGGCCAATTTGTAGGGCTGCATTAGGAAGCGTGTGTTGTCCTGACACTGAATTGAGACTGGGGGAGTGCCGATCCATTATTAGAGCAATTACACGGATGTGAGCAGGACACAGGAGAAATTCAGGAGAGAGAGACACAGAAGAAAAGAGTGAGACCTCTTATAAAGCCAAGTCCTGTCTGTTTGTGAAGAATTTGTGAGACCAGGCTCTGGGTCAGAAACAGGAGCCCGATGAGCCAGTGCCCGTCTCCATAATTCTCCTCAATGGTGCATCAGTGTCAGGGGGTGCAGGCTGCTGAAGGTATTCTTCCTAGAGTTGCAGCCCCGGTGGTTTCCTGCCAACATGTACATGACAACAAAGCAGACATGTGGACGAACAGCTGAGGCTCCAGGCTTGTAACTCCTCTCTGCACAGGTCAGACTGCAAGTCCTACTGAAAAGGTAAGCTAATGAATTTCTGTTCAGGTCATGCAAATCAGTAACGCACAAATACCTGACAGTAAATGGCATTAATTCAGTGTATAATACATGAACATTTAGTTAAAGCCCACATGTACCTGTTTGTTTGTGAGCGTATCATAGCAGGTTTATCCACTAAACGGTCTTCAGAAGTTATTTGAGACACTTGTGGAGTTCAGTGGGACATTTTTAAGGATATTTTCACATGTAGTAATGACATTATGGAACATTAAGATGTCAGTGTTCACATTTAGATTATTTGATTTTAGAACATTTAAATTGATAAAAACTTAGTTTGTTCAGTCCAACATTGTGAAATCTATTGAGTGTGTATTATAAAGTGGATTTATGAGTCAGATGGGGGTAATGGTTTACCCTGTGATTGTATGTTTTTTGCTGTATTGTGATAAAACATTTACTTATTACTGAGATACTTAGTCTGAGCTGCAGGTTTTTATTTCCTCTGAGACTATTCAGTACATTTGTCTTCATGTTAAACCAAATCCAGAACTCCTTTAGTTTGTATTAGTTTCTAATTTCTGCAAGCTGTTACGTATTTATGCCTCCCATCGGTACAGACGTAGAGTATTATCTGCCATCTGATTAACAGCGTGTTAACATGAGGAATAGGTCGTGAAGAAAACTGATGCATGAGGTGTAAAATATCAGTAAGGCAGCAGGAGAAAGTGAGAAACGCGGAGCACAGTGGGGCTCCGTTCTGTGTAAATGCTTGTATTTAAGTGATGGAAATGGGGAAGTTCATCCTCCGTTATGGAATTTGTTAATGCAGTGAAATGATTTGAAATAAAAGAAGGTATGAACAACAAGCAAACTGAGGGGGAGAGAAAAAGTGTTTTAGTGGGGAGGCAGAGAGGGAGAAAGTGCGTGCGTGTGTGTGTGTGTGTGTGTGTGGGGGGGGTGGATTACTTCTCACTCCAGAATACTAATGAAGGCCTTTTGTCATCGATCACTCTCTTCTTTTCTCATTTTCCCTTTCACTCACACACATACACATAATACTTATATAATTGTCCAGTCTTTGTGAAATAATTGCACACAAATGCATGCAAACTTATAAATGCAGTCACTCACACATACACTGAAATTCGCATGTAATTGCAGTCCCACTCTCACATAATCGCACACACGGATGGGCACAGTCATTTTTGTCAATGGCGTCTTTTGTCTCTTTTATCTCGGCCCCTAACAAAGCATTCCTGTGTACACAGAGGAGAGTGAGAAGGAAGGAGGGAGAAAGAGGAAAGTGAGTAGAGACACCAGGAAAACATTCAGCAAAAATAAGTTTTGGTTCTGGTTTTGGATTTGGCTCGCTGAGACAGGGCAGTACCTAAAGTTACTGTGTTGCCATGGAGATGGAATACATCCCACTGGAGAGGTCGGTCAAACTATTTCCCTCTTTCTATTCTTATTTATTCTATTATTCATCTGATATGCCTGTAGGGGGATTTTTTTTGTGGGGCATATGTTTATGTGTGTGACAAAAAGAAGGTGAGAGGTTGATACACAGCTGAAAGAGAGAAGTTGTCAATGGTGCCGTTGTAATTATGAAGCTCCTGAGGGGCTCACACTTGCATAAATACAAGTGTGATGTAATCCAAGCTGAGTCGTTACATAATCCACTGTGAGCACTGTAGAGAAGTTATTCTGGTTTACACTACTTGGCCAAAAATATATGGACACCTGCTTTTGGGCCAGGACTGTTTTTCATAGTTTGAGTTTGGCCTTTTTGGTCAAAATAAGTCGGATTATTAGTTTTGCCACTGTACATGAAGCAAGATCTATTTAAAAGTCCCCCCACCTCCATGTTTAAGAATTTACTAGTCTGTCCAGAGTCCTGACCTCAGGATGAACTGTGAACCCGGTGTTAATACTTGGTGGAAGGAAATTAAGCACATTTATTTATTAAAAATCACTTGGTATCACTCATACTAGTTTCAATGTCAGATGCTGATTTTTAATTATCTTTATGTGCATTTTGCTGGTAATAAAGTTTGAATGCAGGCTTTTTGCTTGTAAAGAATTTTTTGATGTCATGTTTGCACCATGAATCTGAATATTAGTTCCACCACTACCTAATGCCCCACATCAGTGCTTGAGCTCACCAGTGTGAGCAAAATCTTACAGCCAGGCTGTCAGATGTTATAGGTTATATGGTCATTATTTTCTGAATTTTGTTTTTAATTAATCTCTCTAGCCCCTAATCTACTTTAAAACAATTACAATACCCGAAAAAAGGGAAAAACAAGTGTTGTCATTAGGTAAAAAAACCGTGGCGTCTACACAAGGTTATTGCTTAATATTTGTGTGCCGCAACAAGGAAACATCTGTTGAAACTTGTGAGGAAACGTCTATTCTTCCTCTGCTACTTCCAAGAACTGTCAAAATAAATTGTAAATATCTGCACTTCCTCTATGTAGCAACAAGATTCTCTTGTAACTTCAAAGAAATTTGTGGGGGGGAAGAGATGTTGGTTCCCCTCACCTTTGTTGCATTGTAGTAGGCTACGTAGAAAATTTTTGTAAATTTCCAAAATCATTAATAGAAAGGTTGCTCACCTCACGCATCAGTAGACCGGAGGTGAGAATGTAGGCTGGATTTGAATCTTTCCATTTTCATGCTTCACTAAATTTGCCCCATGAACAGAAAGATTGAGAACCACAGACAGTACACTCACAGGAATTTTACACTTATTCTAGATATAGATGCAGTTTATACCCAAAAATTACAAACCCAAGTAGAGTAACAACCCAGCATGCAACACTAATAGATAATATATTTACCAATGTGGCTTTAATGCTTTGGAATTCACAGTTTGTTTGCTCGGTGTCTTGTTTCTCTTTTGGGACCTATTTTGAATCAGTTTTGGTTTCAAATAGGCTCACTTGAGGTGAATTTTCCATGTGAATGCCAGCAGGGGAAACTACGAAAACAAGAAATCACTATGTGGGTAGTTTCTAGCTTTCCTCAAAGCTTATGATTATCATAACTGGATCACAAGATGCTGCTGATGTTGTGACTAATGAAAGCGAGTTTAAATAAGTTTTAGTTTGTTTGGCTTTTCAGTAATAATAAACAAAGGCATCCCAGCTCAACCCAAACTATTCTCAAGTGAGCCTATTATTAACAGCAGTCAGTTAAACAAGCTAATCACATAATTTAACTGCTCTTTCTTTTTATTCACTAGATGACATCTGCCACGCCCCCTTCCTCTTGTAGCTCCTCCCCCCAGAAGGTTTGCCACTCCCAAACCCAGACAGATGTTTTAAAGCCCTTACTGGGTGGTGGCGTATTCGGTGGGGGCGGGACTCTGAGGAGGAGGAAGCGGGTCCTGTCCAAAGATGGGCGTAGCAACGTACGGATTGAGCACGTCAGTGGACGAAGCGCTCTGTACATGCGTGACCTCTGGACAACGTTTCTGGACATGCAGTGGCGCTACAAATTCTTCCTGTTCACAGCCACGTTTGCAGGGACCTGGTTTGTGTTTGGCGTGCTATGGTACCTGGTGGCGCTGGTGCACGGAGACCTGCTCGGTGAGAGCTGCCAGGAGGGGCCCCTGTGCCCCTAGAAGGCTATGTTGTGATCCGCAGACCTTGCATTAAACACTTTTTACACAAACTAGTTCCTCAGTAGAAAGTTGTTCCAGTTAAAACTGAGACCAAAGCTAACAAATTACTAGGACATTGTTTCTTGAACTGCTGCTGAATTTTTCAAATGTATTTTTTTTATTTTAATGGTGCACAGACTATTGTTTTTATCCTAACTATGTTGGGTTTGAAGCAAAACTCTCAGATGAACATAGGGTAGCTTTTCAAACAATAAAACCAAAATACTATGCACTGTTACAAATCAATGTGAGAAATTTGATACTGTGGTACTGGGATGAAAGGTCCTGTCATCTGAATTACTCAAACGTTCCAGTTTTCACTTTAAACATCTGCTCAAAAACTACACCTCTTCATGGCTTGTGCACTGCTCTTGTTATGACTCAACTGCATTGCACGACTTAAAACTAATAGTTTTACTAACAGTTGCACTTACGTATCTAGTGCGTTGCACAGCAGCACGGTGGTTAGCGCTGTCACCTCCTCTGTGTGGAGGTTACATACTCTTCCTGTGCCTGCGTGGGTTCTCCCCGGCTTCCTCCCACAGTCCAGAGACATGCAGCTTAAGCTGACTGGCAACTCTAACTTGCCCGTAGGAGTGAGTGTGGGTGGTTGTTTGTCTGCATGTCAGCCCTGTGATAGATTGGCGACCTATACAGGGTGAAAGGTCCAGGATTCGGTATTAAAATTTCATGTCATGTACTTCTGTGCACAAAGGACTAATTGAATCAGACTGATCACAAGTAGTTTGCTCACTTAGTCAAATGTGATCAAACCACAGCCATGCAGATATGAACTTCTCAGGGGCCTTGGGCATCAAAATGTTACACAGAATGACACATTACCAAAATGATCATGTTTCTTTTGGTTGGCAACTTGGTGTGCATGAAATTTCACAATGACAAATACAACAGTGCAACTTATTTCTCCAGCTATTTTCTGACAAACATAAAGAGATCACAAGTATGAGCACAGCTGAAGTCACTGTTGGTAAATCACAAGTAGGGTGGTGTGATGGTGGATCACATTGCACTGAAGTGTCATTGCTGCACAAAGTGTTGCATTGCAGCTGGAAAGGCTAAGAACCGCTGTCTGAAAGCAGCATGTTTTTAATGTCTTCATTAAATTTGTGTTACTGTTTTATCAAAGGTATGCACACAATACTTCATAACACAGTTTTAACAAATGCTGCAATTTAATACGGACCATGTATGGAAAGATTAAAATACACAATGCCATGTGCTCAGTTTGTCTGTGCTGCATTGCACTTGCACACATATGCTTTGACTGAACTTGTTACTTCAACGTAATCTGATCATGATAAAACTGAACCATAGTGATGACAGGAAGTTAGTTCTTATCTTTAGTGTAAGGCCTGCTCTCATCAACTTCCTCTGTTGTCACTCATATTTTCCATGGTGGTTCAACCAAATGTGACAGTAGAAGTTGTATATAAGTCTTATAAAGACATTTAAGTCCTGTGCAGTGATGTGTCAATGAATAGTTTGTTAGTTTTAGAGACATTACAATGACCTGCACCCCACAATAATGTACAGAAGTTTAAAAAACATTATTTTAACATTTTGGCATAATCTGACTATTGTCTTTTCAACCATGTTCCTCCAGAGTTTGACCCTCCATCCAACCACACACCCTGTGTGATGCAGATGCAGACTCTGACAGGGGCTTTCCTCTTCTCCCTGGAGTCACAGACAACCATTGGCTATGGTTTTCGCTGCATCACAGAGGAATGTCCAGCTGCCATCATCCTCCTCATTGTGCAGCTGGTTATCACTATGCTGATGGAGGTCTTCATCACTGGTACCTTCCTGGCCAAGGTAGCCAATCCATAGATCATCTAGCTGTAAAGATATGAACTACAAGAGCAAGTGAAAGCTGTGTTCTTCTACCTTTAATAAGTCAGGCACAACTACTCTGTGCACAGTTCTCTGCAGTGCTGCATTCATCTGCTGTTATGTTACATGCAAGACACTTACACAAATCTTGTCAAATGGAAACCAGAACTGACCAAGTTTTCTTTGCTCAGGTTGCTCGGCCAAAGAAGCGAGGGGAGACGGTGAAGTTTAGCCAACATGCTGTGGTGTCGAGCCACGAAGGCCGACCTCGCCTGATGATCAGGGTGGCCAACATGCGCAAAAGTCTCCTGATTGGGTGTCAGGTAAAATCAGAAAAATACAAATGCACCTAGTGCTAACAAAAACATTTCTAATATTTTGTCTTAACAAACTGACAGTTATGCCAAATGGTTCACATGAATGATTTCATGATCATGAGCATTTTGCCATATAGGGTTTTTACCTAAAACAACTAGAGCACATTGTCCCTTCAGGTGACTGGGAAACTGCTCCAGACGTCTCTGACCAAGGAAGGCGAGACCGTCCGTCTGGACCAGAGAAATGTGCCCTTCCAAGTGGACACTTCCAGCGACAGCCCCTTCCTCATCCTTCCCCTCACGTTCTACCATGTCATCGACGACACCAGCCCCCTACGAGCCTGGGCAGCCAAGGGTAAGTGATTTGTGGGAGGTAGTAGACTCACAAATAGAAGGTGTTTTAACTTTACAAATTTTTGACTAAAGGCATCAATATGGTGGAAACAGGGGGCCTACAGGAACTACAGGGGGCTGTGTTCAGTTAGTATGCAAACTTTAAGCAGTGAGTATGTGTAAATAAGCAGGTATACAAAAGCTAAAGTTCCTTCTCAAGCCTTTGTTTCATGTGTAAAACTGAATATAAACACTGGCTGTATATAAACGATGGACAAACAGACAAACAGAAGAGTAGTTTTGAAGTGAGGTCTGGCTCTTGCCATATTGGTAGCGTGTCCCTCCGCCTGCTATGGCAAATCCAAAAATGGGAAAAGACAAGTGGTGTGATTGGAGCTCCCTGGATGGCCCGCCATCTGTGGCAGGACCCTTCTGCCTGTCACTCAGTGGCCACACCCCGAGTTATGCATAATGTTTAGTCTTTGAGGATTGACTCAGTTTTGGAGACAGCCTCATGTGGCCATTCGAGGAACTGCAGGTTTTACCACTTCTTCGTTGGCCTTCTCGGTCTCGGACGCTGCTGCCTTCTTCGTTGGCCTTCTCGGTCTCGGAGGCTGCTGCTTGAGTGCAACGTCATGATTGTTTCTAAGGGCCGTTTTGGAGACAGCCTCATGTGGCCATTCGAGGAACTGCAGGTTTTACCACTTCTTCGTTGGCCTTCTCGGTCTCGGACGCTGCTGCTTGAGTGCAACGCCATGATTGTTTCTGAGGAGAGCTTGACAGGTGTTCCCCACTCCCACTCTTCATCCTCTGTGTTCCTTTTACACCCCACTGTAATGTGCCAACGCCTCACACCTCATTTACCTCCACCAGGTGGGGGCTGGACAGATCCAGAATCGGCTGACTTTGAGCTGCTGGTCATCATGAGCGCTACAGTGGAGCCGACCTCTGCGACCTGCCAGGTCCGCACCTCTTATCTGCCAGATGAGATTCTCTGGGGCTATGAGTTTCCCCCAGTGGTGTCCCTCTCCCCTTCAGGTAAATATGTAGCGGACTTTGCCTTTTTTGACAAAGTGGCCAAGACCAAGACCACACCTGTCTTCAAACCATCCAGCCCTCTGCAGGGGTACCAGAGCAACAGGGGTGGGACTGTGTATGAGGTGTCCGATCCAGAGAAGATTCGCCTGGAGCAGAGCTACAGGGAGCGGGAAGAGGACCGTGGCCCTGTCAGAGACAGTCCTCTGAGCATTCGTATCAGCAACGTGTGAACAGACTGGTTGAGGGAACATTTCACAGAGGGCGACACACAGGAGACTGCCAAGTTCAGTGTCTGTAGCAAGTCACTGACAAATCATAGGAAAATTGTTTTTGACACTGTTTTGAACTGAAGTCAGAAAGATATTAGTGTCTCAGTAGCACCAGACGATGCAAAAAGCAAACATTAAGAATGTGGTCAGCTTGTTTAGTAGGTACAAGTTTTACACAGGCTTGACTGTATTCATACGACGGCATAACAGCCTACTGCAGCTAATATTTATATTTGTGTGTGGTGAATGCACATTCACCTCACATACTAATGTATACCCTCTAATAATAAAGTGAGTAGCCGTCACATTATCTACTGTAACTAAAACAGAAAACATAACAAAACAAGCACCAGAGAGGACGGAAACTTGGGCTTGTCTGGGTTCTCCCCAGATCACTAAATGTCAAATCATTATTTGGGGGTATTACTGTGACAAGGTGAGCAGGAGACCACTGCAAACACCTTGGTATAAAATGACAGAACCTTTCCTACATCTTGTAACAAACAGTATTTGTGGTTTGTTCACACATTTATTTAGAAAGCTCTTCTGCCATAGTTTGCTTCTATTATAGTAAAAAACACCAGTGAGTAACGGTAAGCATTGCCTTTCGACAGCTCACAAACCTCCCACCCTCAACTTCCTCTCAACGCCCTCATGATATATTTTTGTTTCCGGCTAAAACAGACCTACATTCTGAATTTAAAGACACAGACATGTGGTTGTACAAAGTCGTGTACTAATAACAAAGCAGATGCAATTCAATTACAACAACCAGAATGTTGTTCAAGGTGCTCTGTGAACTGGATCTTTTGGCAGTTTGTTCTTTTATGTATGACAGTTGATGCTGTTTGTAAACACCACAGCCTTCAACAGAAGGTTTGCACTTTATGTACATTTGCACCTTGGGAAGGTTTTCTGCCTACTGTACTGTATGTTTGGAACCTTATCTTAGGAAGGTGGTTTTAACAGTGTAAAGAACTTGCATGTCGAATATCACTGAATTTGAAGAACTTCCCTCTGATGCTAATATTAAATTGTTTGTCTCAGTGGCTTCAAGCAAACTGACAAATGAGATGTTATCAGAAACAGCCGCTGTGTATGCACATACGTAAATGTAAAATGGCTTCTGTACATTCATGAGATTTTCAGGTTACTAACATTAACAGACATTTTGTCAAAGCCTCTTTATTTTTCATTATATATGACTAAGATGTGAAGAGGGCATTTAAGATGATTACACCAGAGGTGAGTGCTGAGACAAACGAACCCAGGATGGTGGAAAGTGTATTTGTAACATGTCCTTAATTAACATCAAGCTCTGGAATCTTACTAGTGCTGCAGATGAGGATATTGTGACGACGCGCTAGCTGCGGCGCGCTCGCACCGTCCGGGTGTAACTGTCTTTCCAGCCGTCTCAGCTGGAAGGTGCTCTCCTCAATTTCCCTCTCTAATTCGACCAGACTCCTCTCCATGGTGCCGTTCTACGGCCGTCTTTATCCCACTTCTGACACCAATGTGACGACCGCTAGCTAAGTTGAGAGGAGCTGGCCGAGCCTGTCCTACACTGAGGCAGCTAACTAGCCAGCTGTGTGCCGGCACCTGGCTCAACAAGGAGGAGAACACCTTCGTTGTCTTTTGGGGTTTTATTAAAACAAAGAATACAACATAACGGATTTACCTGGCACCGTGTGCTCTCAGGAGAAAATGAAATAACGAACAGAAAACGGTGACAACATTCCCTCTGGGCATCCCGTGTCCCGCGCCAACAGAGTCTAAACAAAACGCCCACCTGCCATCCCTTTTATCTCCTCCCGCACCTGTTCCTCCCCCCATCCCACATTGGCCAGAACAGAACACATGAACATTTGCGACCGGTCAGGGTCGCCACAATA